CGAGTTCCAGACAAAACGCAAGAAGTCCTGCGATGGGGAAGGGCGCAGGTGGCTGGCGTGGCTGCCCCTACAGTGCGTGCCACAGCGACTGGTTAGGATCCCACCTATGCGGGAGTGCCGATACGACCTTTTTCAGAAGGAACCATGGTCGTCTGACTCTCAGTCCGCCAGTCAGCCACTCTACACAACAAGACACACACTGGACTGACTGTGAAATTCGATGCCCCAGTGCTGATTCAGTGGTCAAATGTGCTGATGAGGGTGTTGGCCGGAGGTGATGCGTCGGAGGGAACGGACCAATTTAGTACTCTGCAGAGACTACTGAGATGGAAATGGTCCAGCTTTCGGGCTTGACTGGCGTAGACGGTCCAAGGCTCCGATCCCTACAAGAGTATCGTAAGGATGTTGACCTTGCACGTCCTCAGATTCATGGACAACTGGATGTCATGGCGGTTCCAAACGGGGGCTTGAAGGGGGCCAAAGGCTTGGTTGGCTTTGGAGATCCGGCGGGCAACCTCGTCGTCTTTTCTGGTATTGCATGATAACGTGCTGCTAAGAAGTTCAACGCATTTCTGAGCTCGGCGCCGTTGATAATGATACGTGGAGCATTGTAATCAACACCGGGGGATGGCTGATGAATGAAAACCGTTTTATCCGTGCTGTGCTATACTTCCTGAGATAATTTTCTTTTGGTACCAAATTCATGGTTTGTTTGGTCTCGGAAGTTAACCATGCGAGATAGAAGATTAAGATCATTCGGAAGAAGTCGATGCGACCACTGACTTTTCGGATTCCGTTGGGAACCCTTAATCATAGGAAATAGTATCATAGTCCTAATCGTACCCAGATAGAGGCATTTTCCACGATGACCTTGCATGCATTTTCTGAGGATTACCGTTTTGGTTAAGGCAAAGACAGAGTTTCCTTTACAATTATGATTGAGTTTAGTAGAATGGGTTACCTTTGGTGTTAGGTTCAAGGTTGAGGTCCGAGTTCATTTTTGGTTAGAATAAGGTCTTGAGTGAGTAGTAAGGTTATGACCAACTCACCGTTATCCTTCATGGAATTTTGCGCAAGGCAACCAGTATGATGCGGGAGTGCCTTTTCCCATGTCATATTGTTAATCATATCGGTTTACGATTTTTCCGGTATTTATAAACACCCAATCACATCCACCACAGACTAATCGGACTGCAATCGAATAATCAGGCATAATTTGTGGATTATTTATGTAGTTTGGGTTTTTCGTTGTATGTGTCGTTTTTGATAATCGAAACGCCTGCTGCCTAAGCCAACCAATTCCAGAATCTCGCGTTCTTCTCGCCCAATCTACCGGCCTCTATGCGGATAACGTCAACTGTGTTTCTTCAAACAGTTTCTAGGACGGTGTTGGATATGGTGACGTGCTAGCTGTTTGAGAAGGCTAGAGCCTACTAGAGTGATAATCCTAAACAAAAACCTATTTGCCCAGCCTCTTTAACAAGAAGAAAAAGAAACAAAAATAAAGACAAGTTAAAGACGACTTGAGAATAAATTTTATAGCATGATGATTTTAAAAAGAGTAGAACGCATTTTCAGTGGTTGTTTTGCAGCCTACTTTGCATCCGTAATATCTCGCAAGGTTGCTAGGCAGCCCTTTTAGAAATGCTTTAACTTATGTGATTAAAACTTGAGAGAACTTGGCAAAACTAAATACATGGTTTAAATCTATACACAGACCAACCCATGAAGATCAAGAAAGCAAACTTAATTGAGATATTCCGTTACTTCTGGGGGCGTAAGTGAGAAAAAATATGCATTAGGGATTGATTAATGTTGCCCTTCTTAGTGGCGTTTCTCCGCCTACGTACGCAGTACAAATTGCGCCTGCTCTTGTTTTCTGCAAGCAATTGTTCCTAGCGTACAGTAAAAGTGGTGTGGTTTGAAATGAACATGCTTTTATGGGGTGGATTCTGGTTGTTCGTCATAAAGCATACACTTTTTCCACCATAATGAGAACCTTTTAGATCGTATGCCAGTTAGGTGAGTCAAAACATAAACAGGGAGTGCTTAAAATGTCGCTTCCATAAAAGAGGGATTAATTTCTTACGATTTAAAATACGTGAAGTTACAGTGGCATTTGTCCACCTGAATACTGCAATAAAAGCCTGAATTAAATATACGTTCACAGGGAAAGAAACCATTTTTTTTTGTAAAATAAAAGATGCATCCAACTGATTAGATAACCTCTGATACCTAAATGGAGCGATGTTGCTGTGGCACTAAAATATTACCGTAAATATTACGTTTTCTCAAATTTTGGGACGGCAGCCATCTCAAGGATAATCGGTATTGTTGTATACTATGTGAAGATTGCATTATGAAATGAAAAACAGCAATTTCGCCAACATACACTGTTTTTATCTCTCATATTCGCAATGCCACCCCGCAGGTGTTAATTAATCTGAAACCCAATAAGAGCTTACATTGCATTCCGAAGTAAATCAGGTCACTATGTTTTTTTGTTGTTAAATTTTAATTTTTAACATTAGAACGGATATTCCATAAACGATGCTAAGATAAAATGGGTTTGGGTTCTTGCATAAGTTATCGTTGCTTTGCAAGGAAATTTTATATAATTGATAATGAACATCATGCATGAAACTTTTAATTTGTTTCAGAATTCCTTACTCTGAAAGACTCCATCCTCCAATCTGCTTTATATACCTTCACCAAAGGTACACCTATTCAGCATATAGTTTGACTTCACTTGGTCTATGCACAACATACACAAAATACCCCTTATCCGTAAAAACATGCAAAATATTTTCACTTTTTCCAAATCAAGAACTTTGATAAATTTGATTATTGATCATGGTGACGAGGTTAAGATAAATTAATCATGATAATCCCCTACATTGTAGCCATCGCACTAGCTGTTTTGGTTTGCAAACCCTGCTCAAAAATGGGGATATTATAGTTATAGAAAAGATTTAGGACTTTTAGCCTGCAAATTGTATAACTCACTTGTAAAGAAAATTGTCTATTTATATGTTGTCTACACAAGAAGCATAAGTAAAATAGGGTACGGCCTTTCTTTAAAAACTACGTTATTCTCTTAAAAATCCAATAACTTAAACATTCTTAAACCAAAAGACCTAAGTTATTTAGAGTAAAATTTTTGAACAAAAAATAAAGTCATAATAAGAAAAATATTGCATTGCTACTTCCTCATAAAATCGTGCTTAAGATGAAGGATAAAATGGGGCGACGAATATATATATATATATATATACATATATACAGGGTATCCCAAAAATATATACACATTCAAATAATTGTAAAATTGGTGTTAATCATAATTTTATTATTTCAAAAATGCAAAAATATTTATAAGTATCATTTTATTTTTTCCTTTCAAAATGTTCTCAAACTGACGTTAATTTTGACCATGACACTGCTGACAACGCGAAGCAATGGAATCGCACACATCATGAATTTTTTCCTTGGCATTCCGATGCATTCATTTTCACTGGCTTCTCTCAAGCCAGCCACTGTTGTAATAGACAAAATGTGGTGAAAAAAGCAATAAAATGATACTTTTTAATTTTTTTCATTTTTTTCATTTTTTTTAAATTATAAGAAACACCAAGTTTACAATTATATAAAATGTGCATGCATTTTTTAGTACACCCTGTAAACATAAAGCAGAGAGGGGTTTCAGCCTTTGGGGGTAACTTTTTGCAGAAGTGTTTCGGGTTTTGGCTTTCATTCATTCATGTTATTGTGACTTGGCCGGCATCAGTCTGGCAGGTGGTCGCCTGCTTGACGCGCCTAGCCACTCACACGAGGTTTTTCTTTTACTTCGGGAAGCCAATTGGATCGGCGTTCGCAAATTCTTTAGTGAATATATACATATACAATAGATTGGAGTGGGTCCGACAAAGACAAGGGAGACCGGAATGGCTATTTCTGGCTTGTTAGCCATTATCAGCCAGTTATACCCCATCTCAAGGATTGGAACCCCCGAGATTCGAACCCGGGACCTTTGATAATTGAGTTAAACACACTACCTCGGCATCATAGGCTCGTTGCTTTGTTGGTTATGACCGTGAATATGATGGAACTGGAATGTTCATCCGATATATCTGGTAAGGGCATAAACTTGTCCCGGAAGTGCCTTGAGGCTCGTACTTGAGCGATATCAGGCTGTCGCTTAGCGACTTCAGAATATGATGGGGTGGACCCGAAAAAGACATTCCAGCTCCATCAAATTCACGATCACGACCAACAAAGCAAAGAGCCCGTGGTGCCGAGGTAGAGTGTTAAACTCAATGACCAAAGGTCCCGGGTTTGACACTTGGGGTTCCAACCCTTGAGATTAGGTGTGACTGGCTGATGATGGCTAACAAATCAGAAATGGCCGTTCCTGTCTCCCGGATCCACTCAATCATATTCTGAGGTCGCTAAGCGACAGCCTAATATCACTCAAGTACGACCCTCAAGCCACTTCTGGGACAAGTATATGCCCTAACCAGATAGATCGAATGAACATCCTCGTTGCATTATATTCGCAATCACAACCGACAAAATAGCGAAGCCTTTGTGCCGAAATCGGATGAACACCCCAGTTCCATATAATAGATTGTATATTGGATGAAATGTGAAGAGCATAATTTGAGTGGGTGATTAAAGACCTATATTTGGTTGTTTATTTTATTCATTAAGTTGACTTGAGGTGGAAAAAAGCGTCTACTAGAAAAGATTTCACTTCAGATCAGTATATTGGGGACAAAAAGGGACGGAATGGGGCGAAGTCCAACGTTTGTTGATATCCAAGCAACATCCTACGCTATTAAAGGCCGCGGAAAAGAAATTATTGCGTCTGTGTTTTGTACATTAAGAGAACATTAATAAAATGCATAAACAGTTTAATTACATACAGGCAGAGAACATATAATTTTGTTTTGTACTCATGAAATTGAGCCAAGTGCAGTTGTTAGATAACACATTATTGTTAGGAAAAGAAAAGCAAAGTAAGTTGCCAAAACTCTATTTTGGAAATCTGCTAAGTTTCATAACATAAAATGAAGTAATAAACCTACAAGGCTGTTATTTGCTATACCCCACCGAAAATAACGACCATAGACAAGCATTAATGGCATAGACGCGTACACCAATCTGTTAGAGGACCCACTCGTCCCCCCATATTGCCTTTAGAGCTCTCTCTC